TTCTGTTTTTATGTTATTTGTGTGTTTTCAATTTTGTTGCAGTTATTTGTTTATTTAATTTCCAGTCCAGTGTTAGTTTGAGAACATGATAACGATCCACAGGAAGACCCCCCTGACATTATAAAATTAATAAAATTGTTGGTTGGGGAACTGTTGAGTGAAGATGTTGAGTGAGGTGATGAGAAAGTATATAGAATACTCAGAAAAGAACCGTGAGGATGAAATTGGGATAATCTTGAGAGATAGGTAAAAGGCCAACACCCTGGGTTTCCCAAAGAGGAACGAGTTCGACGTGTAGATTTGTACCATAGTGCTTTGATCTGAGAAGTACCCCTGAGTAGTTTATTTTGACAATCAGGCTCCATCAAAAATAATTGTGTGTGCAAGGATAATGAAAAATATGGAGTTAAGGCACAGAAAAAAAAACAAACAAAAAGGGGCAAGTAGGCGACTAATCCTTCTAAGTTGGGTAACCCTCACCCAGTTATTCAGCCCAACGGCGGTCGAACCTGAAAGCCATTCAAAAAGAATAACAGTGCCAGAAAAAGAAAAATGTCATTGATAAATCTTGTGCACACGAGGAAAATCATAAAAGCCATATAGTGATTGTCCGAATGAAAGGGAGGAAAATCGAAAAAGAAGACTTAAGTACAAAGCATAGTCGGAGAGGTTACCTAGAGGGAGACTGAGGTCTGTGGTTTACCGCAGTCTAGTGTTTGCAGGTTACCTGTTTTGAGGGAAAAGCCGAATAAATCCTAGGGGACTTGGAATGAGAAGTTCAAGTATGAGTATTATCACCGTAACTCACAATTCTATGGACGGTTCCGTTATAAAAAAAAGAGATATTGAGTTCGGGTTGGTGAGCTTGTTGCTTGAGGACAAGCAAAAGTTCAAGTTCGGGGGAATTTGATCGGTGGATTTCAGTTGTGTTTTCAAACGCTGTTGGTGGTTAATTTCGCAATGTTTTTATCTAGTTTTCGAAGCTTTAGTTGTTATTATCTGCATTACTCGTAGTTGTGTGTCTTCGAGTCTTATTTTTAAGTTTATGTTGCTTTTGCCGCTGGTGCATTTGATTTGGTTTCTTTTAGTGTGTTTTTGGCAGGAATGGATAGCACGACAATCGCACCGCATTCGGAGGCAAAGAAAAGGCGAAAAAGGGAACTTAGAGCTGCAACACGGGTACCTGTGTTGCACAACACGGCCCGTGTCATGAAGGACACGGCTGGCAGACACGGGTGGACCAAAGCAGATGAAAAAAGAAGACTCAGACTTGCAACACGGGTGCACGTGTCATGCAACACGGCCCGTGTTGCAGCCCTTGGAGAGGAACACGCCCTGAAGAAGCCAGCAGCCTGACACGGCCACCCGTGTTGCACAACACGGCCCGTGTCAGGGCCACTGAACGTGAAATTTCTCTGTTTTCTGATTTTTTGCTGTCAGACCTATTTCGAAGGGCATTTGAGACATTTCGCTATGTAATTTGAATTTAGATATAAGAGGCACATTTTAGAAAGTAGAGAACACTTTAGAACTGATATTAGGATTGACAACTGAGAGGAGAGTTCGGCTGGAAACAGAGGATCGATCAAAAGCGGAAGCAATTGATGATCCAAGGATTTCAACTTGCATTGTAATGATCTTCTCCTTTTTAATTCTAATTACTTTTATGTTTACCAAGAACATGAGCAGCTAAACCCCAAGTTGTTAGGGGGTGGTCCTTAGTGTGATGTAATGACGTTTGTTTAATTATTCTATGAGAACTATGTTTTTACCTTAATATATTTTATTTTGCATTAATCTTATTCGTATTCATATTGGAAAGTAGAATTCGAATTGTGCTTAGGCTTAGTCTGGAAAGTCAACCTAACACTTTTGCAAAATAGTATCACGGTCGATATTGCTTAGGAATGAGGATATCCCGTATCACGTATTTTATGGTCGGAACTATTGCTTGATGTTTTTCAGGGACACTGAGGAATTAGTGAACAGGAAAATCATCAAAGGGTTTCCATTAAGGAATTAAGGCAACTAAAGTGGCCAACTGAAATTAAGGTTAATAACTAGTATAGTAGAATAATCATACAGGGTCTTTACTCGCATCGTCTCCACTCCCCTAACACTGTTCGTAGATTGATTAATTAAGTCCGTATTTACTTGTGATATTACTCTGCTACCAAATAAACCACTAGACCTTTTGTTCAATTGAATCCTAAAAATTCCGTTAATTACTACGCAGTCCTCGAGATCGATACTTGGGACTTTTCCCTTATTACTACAATTGGTAAAAATAGTACACTTGCTATTTTCCCGATCAACAACCTCTACTATAAAGTATTTTTTTCTACTAGTGAAGGGCTCTATTAAAAAGACCAACATGTTTAATACCAAGTCCTCCGTTCTCCTTAGACTTGCAGATATCATTCCAAGATACTCAAGAGATGAATTTATTATTGGAATTCCCAGCCCATAGAAAACGTCGTTGGATAGCAATAATATCTTTCACAATTTTCTTGGGAGCCTTGAAAAAAGCCAAGGAATGAATATGCATGTTGACTAAAATCGAGTTAATGAGCGAAACTCTACCTCCCATCGACAAATTTATCCCAGCCCAATTAGAGAGTTTATTCCTCAACCGAGAAAAACCGGATTCCAGAAGGATTTCCGATGATGATTACCTCCTACCACAAGACCAAGGAAACTGAGGGGCAGCCTACCAGATTTACAATGTAGAAATTCTTCTGCTGCATCAAGGAACGCAGTTTCAATACCTATTCCATAAAGACAGCTTTTAGAAAAGTTAATCTTCAAACCAGAGCTCAATTCAAACGCATGCAGGATCGCCTTGAAAATCCAAATATTAGAAAACGATCCATCTCCTATAAGCAGAGTGTCATCAGCGAATTGGAGCAGGTTCGCAGTGGCTTGACCGTTGATCTTGAATTCGGATAATAAGTTATCGACAGTCCCAACTCTAACTAAACAAGAAAGACCTTCTGCAACTATGGCGAATAGATACGGTGCCAATGGGTCACCCTGCTTCAGTCCTCTTCCAACCTTAAAATCCTTCGTAGGGCTTCCGTTAATAAGGATCGAAACAAAGATATTAAAAATAGAGCCTCGAATCCACTTCATTCAAATTGAACCGAAACCCATCTTGAGAAGCATATCTTCAAGGTAAGACCAGTCCACACAATCGTAGGCTTTAGGGAAGTCGACTTTGAAAAACAGACACTCCTTCTTGAATCTCTTAGCATAGTCTACTAATTTGTTGGCCAAGAGAACCCCGCCGTAAATTTGACGCCCCGAGATGAAAGTTGTTTGGGACGGGGAGATAAGTTTGTGAATGACCTTGTTTAAACAGAAAGCTAGCATCTTCGAGATAATCTTATTGACACAGCTAACCAAGGTAATAGGTCTGAAATCTTCAAACTTTTGAGGATTATTAATTTTCGGCACTAGCGATATGAACGATGACATGAACACCTTAGGCAGAACTCCTGTCTTGAAGAATTCTAGGATGCAATTAGTGAAATCCTGTCCAACAATGTCCCAACAAGATTTTATGAATTTAAAATTAAATCCATCAACACCTGGACACTTGTTACCGTCGCAGCTAAAAACTGTCTTTCTCACATCAGCTGGGTTGAATTCAGCTTCAAGAAGGCAATTGTCCTCCTCATTAAGTCTTGTAGCCAATTCAAAGTCACTTCTGACCTTAAACGAATTCTGTTGCATATATTTACCCATAAAAAACTTCACCGCTTCGAATTTAATTTCCTTAGGATCATCCACTGACCTGCCTCCCACTATAACCGCTGATAGACGGTTCGACGAATTCCTATATTTTAGGGAATCGTGGAAAAACTTAGTATTACGGTCTCCATTTTGCAGCCATCTAACCCTGGATTTCTGGGCCAGCATGCTCTCTTTAATCCTCAAATTTTTCCACATTTCCTCCTGATGTCGCGTCTTCCGCCTAACCAATTCGTCATCAGTTAGGTTAGCTTCCTCAGTAGAGACCTTCTCCAACTTATTAAACTCAACAACGTTTTCCTCAATAGATAAATCCAGCCAACCAAAAACATTGATATTCCAATGTCTGATGTCTGATTTCAGAGTTTGAAGTTTCTTAACCAGAATGTTACAGTAGGATCATGTAGCTTTGAAAGAGTTCCACGATTGAGTAACAAAAGAGATGAAATCCTTATGATAAAACCGACAATTGAATGTCCTAAAAGGCTTTGGCCCCTAATTTACGAAATTGGACTTCAACCACACCGGCCGATGATCTGATATGTCTCTATCCCCCACCACTTAATTCATCAAAGAAAACTATAATTTTCGTATTTAATTTTATGTAATAATTTTTTTTATGTCCCACCCAATTGTATTGTCCTATCTCCACCACTGGTTGTTTAAATCACATACAAGGTTATTTTCAACATTGAATCAATAAGTCTCGCCATTTGTGATGAGATTTATTGATTCAATGATGAAAAACAAACTTGTGCATAGTGGAAGACTTATTGTCAAAAAAAAATTAAATATTTTTAAAATTTATTTTTTTACAAGAGCATCATTCTCTTTATTTTCCTATGGCATCCAACTTCAAAGGACCGACCCTGCCAAGATGGTGCATAGGACCGATCCTAGTCCAATTAACTTTCTTATTTTTAATTCAATTTGCATAGGAACTAACAGAAAAAAGAATCTCATATAAATTGGCTAACAACTGCTACATGTACTTTGTTTATTTTGTAATGGTCCTGAGTTCCTTTATACTCATTTTCATTATAATATTTTCTTGTGAAAAAAAAAGATCATTTCATCATAAAATATATAAGTTTTTATTAGCAAACATTTGCTCATAACACACTACAAAGAAGATAATTGTAAGACTTATAAAAGTCTTGAATTCCATGATTTATCCTTTTTGTAATATCTAGATACATGGACGTACTTTATTGTATATAATTTGGCAATGGTATAGTATTAAGTTATTATTGGCATGAAGCAAGAGCGGGTGCATTACGTTCACAAACCCTTAATATTTCCTTGACAGGAACATTAATGTTTATTCCTAAAACATTAGCCTTGACTACTGCACAAAGGCAAACAACAGCATCAACTTCTACAAGATCAGCGATGAGGGAGCAACAAGGCTCTGATTTTGGAGAGCCAACAACAATATGTGCAAAATCTCTCAAAAGAGAGACACAAACACGCAAATCAGGACAAATCGGCAGTGGTGATGACGACGGTGACACAGTCGGACCTTGTGCGGAGCTATGAGTAGTGAAGAAGAAGAAGAAGATGCTAAGGGAGAGGATGAGTATGGTAATGGATGGAACTCCCTTTGAATCCATTTTGCAATATTCAGATGCTTTAATGAATTATTTTTAACTACTTAATTTTTCTTGTGGTTGATGAGTGAAAGTTGAGGACACTATTTATAGGAAAATTATAATAGGGGTTTCGGGGTTGTTTTTAATTAATTTCTTTTTTCTTTATTGATTAGACAAATTTTAAAATTTTATATATAGATTAATAGCTGATCTTAATGGTCCTCCTTTTGGTGAAAGGGACTTGGAATTACGGGTTTTATTATAATAGACTTGGACTTGGTGTGCATTGCAAGCTTGAATATTTACTACATTAAATAATGCTACTCATGACGAAATTTTTATCTCGAATAATTGAAAATTGAGGTATAAAATTAAAGAGTGTTATTTTTATTTATTTTAAAAAAATAAAAAACATAAATTCTCTTGATTTTTAAAATAACCGAGGTGAAAAAATAATTCAGTACAAATTTTGATTCTCAACTGTTGCAATTTATGATTTTATTTGTTTATAAGTTTAAACAAAATGTTCTAACCCTTCGATTTTCTATTTAACTGAGGCATAAAATAATAAGATATCATTATAAAAGCACTCGTTAAATAGATTTTACCCTAATCCTTATTAATATGAAGCCGCCCAAACATCATTCTTTGGGATGAATTTTAAGGCAGGAGAAATCTGCAATGTTGTTATTAAACAAATTTTTTTTCTTCCATTATAATCTATCTCACATAATGATGATGTTGTTGTTATTGTATTTATCTAATAACATTTCTATGTTGTCAATCAAAGAAAACATTGAGAAATATATTACTTTCCTCGGTTGACAGTATTGAAAAATTTATTACTAAACGCACATATCTATTTCTCTTTCATATTTTTTTATTTGAAATAATTTGCCATGAAAATATTTTCTCAATATAATCTGGGATAGATTGCAAGTAGAGAAAAAAAGTTTTCTCTTGGTAGGAGCATATATCTTAGAAATCTGAAAAACAATGTAAATATATATAAAAAAAATTTCTCTTGTTTGGAGCGCATAACTCTTTTGGATTGTTATCCAAGAATCTATTGTCAAACTCAGGATTTGGCTAAGTAATTTATTTTAACATTCTTTGAAAATAATGTAAATATATATAAAAAATATTTTATCTGGTTTTAAGTAATAAACGAGGTAACATATTAGCGTGTTTTTTCGATTTATTCATCGTCCTTAAACATATATTCACCGTCCATTTAATGACTAGTATTAACGCTCAAGACACTACCATTAGTGATCCTCGTGAAAACTAAAACCCACATTATAAAAGCATTATGAGTATTTATATTAGATAGTAAGGAATCCACAAGAAACATTGTTATGAAACTCTATGTTCTGGATTGCAAGAGCAGAAAAAAGTCAAGTTTATTTAATATGTGACTGGTAAGAGTGTATTTACTTTGCCAAAGATTTATGTGATATATTGCAAGTGTAGAAAATTATCATGGGTTCAAGGCTTATGTTCTTAAATAATTGAATGTTTATTTTATTTAACTTTTTTTTTTATATCACAAACAAATGAATGAAAACGCAATAGAAAATATATTGCATTCAACACTTGATCTTCCTCAAGATCAACGAAACAAGGATCTCCAACATTTTATCTTCTCCAAGATATCCAGCAATTGTTCTTCACCGACAGTGATGACGATGAAAAACAATATTTTTAGTTTAATATTTTGTGCAAATAATGTAATATTTTGTGAATATAGTTTGTAAACAAATTAACTTATTAATATCTCGTGTAAATAATGTAATGAATTTATTTAAAACAAACGATGTAACCCCTAGATGTTTAGATAAATCAAGAGGTTTGAGGTGTTGTTTGTGTAAATAATAAAAATACATATGTTGGAGTTTGAACCTATGAGCATATAACTTTACCCCTCAACTTTTTATTAATCGAGATGTTTAGTGACAACTTTTCATATCACCGTTCACTCTATTTAGATCCCTTAAGTATATCTTCATCAATCATATTAGTCTCATTCGTCAACTTGTAACCCCAAATTTATAAGGTGGACAAACATTGGAAATGGTCCACAAAAGAGTTCATTAATGTTTTTGATCTTAACCATTTAATTATTTTGTCAAAAAAAGAGAACCATTAGATCATAAATTCTATTATAACTAATGATGAACCATCAACACATAATTTTGTGTTATTTTTTGTCATTTTTTTCTTTCCTTCTACTTTGGTGCACCACTACAATGTTGGTCCCCCTACAATGGCATGGTGCTCTTTGAACGAAGGATAATTAATGCAAATTGAATTTTTATTTAACTCACTTATATATATATATATATATATATATATATATATATATATATATATATATATATATATATATATATATATATATATATATATATATATATATATATATATATATATATATATATATATATATATATATATATATATATATATATATATATATATATATATATATATATATATATATATATATATATATATATATATATATATATATATATATATATATATATATATATATATATATATATAGTTAAATGGTGTTGATTCAATTTTAGCTGGGTAATTTTAATTTTTCTATTTTTTTCTTTCAATTTCACTGTTTTGAGTGGGTTACATACCCGCGACTAGGGCTGGAAATGAGTCGAGTCGAGTCGAACTCACCTCAGCTCGGCTCGACTCATCAAGAATTGATTTGAGTTCGAGTTCGAGTTCGATTTCAACACGAACTTTTTTTTAAGCTCAAGCTCGACTCGTTATAAGTTTACGAACAGTTCGGTTCAACTCGTTAGGTTCATCTCATTAGGTTCAGCTCACATGATTCACGGACTTAAAAACTATTTTTTTAAATAAATATTTTTTAAAAATAAAATATTAAAATAAAATAAAAATTATCATATTGAAATTTAACTTTATCTTTGAAATCTACTAATTCAAAACCTACACAACTTTCAAGAGATACATTTGAGAGTCTAATTCAAAAACTACTAAATTGAAGATTAAATATGTCTAAAATTTGGAGTAAATATTTAAGCCTAATCTTAAAGACAGTATAATTCTTCTCATATGTAATCGAGTTGACTCATGAACCTAACGAGCCGAACTATGTATAGTTCAAGTTCAGCTCATTTAGTTAACGAACTTAATTTTTCGCTCATACTTAACTCATTTGGTTCATGAACCTAGTTCAACGATTTAATTGTCGAATCGAATTCCAAACTATTTTCGAATTGGTTCGGTTCATTGCCAGCCCTACCCGCGACCATTGAGACAAAATAAATGTCTAAAGACACTAAAGCAATCTCATTATTCTTGTAAATATAGTTTTTCATACTGATATATCCACTATTATCTTCCTCCCAAATTTTTTGAACGAATAAAACAATTTTTTTCAAGTAAAAAAAATTATTCTCTTTTGATTAATATTATTTTTTTTAGATTATATCATTCTCATTTTAGTATATGTAATATAATGTAAAATATATATATTTTTTTATGATCAATTTTGTGCAAGTATTAGTTCAAAGCTAATTATTGATTCGTTACACGTAGATATTATTCTAAGATACGTAATTTAATTTTTTAATTACCAATTTTTCTACGCGAGCAAATTTATGGTACTTCATTCAAAATAAAATACAAGTAGAAAAAACAACAACAGTATTGCAAAAGCATGTAATAAAGTTTCTCGTGCAATAATAGGAGCACTGTCTTTTATTTTACGCACAAAACCATCTAAAGAATTATTATATGAATGGAGTAAGGTTCAACAATCTTGTACAAATGAGCCATACTAAAATTGATTAATTCTATAATTGTTCACATTATCAATGGTAAATTTGCACTCCAATAATATTGAGGTGAGATGATAATCTCAGCGAGTTTCCCTATCAGGGTTTTTAGATGGTTTTGTGCGTAAAAAAAAAAGACAGTGCTCCTATTATTGCACGAGAAACTTTATTACATGCTTTTGCAATACCGTTGTTGTTTTTTCTACTTGTATTTTATTTTGAATGAAGTACCATACTCGGCTCTTCAGGGTTTTTAATCGATTTTTTAACTTAAGTTATTCAAGAGAATAAAGGCTTAAGCATCTAGATGCTTTTCGAATTGTATGGAAAGATGTACACTTAAGTTCACCAACTACATTAAGTCACTAATCAGAAAGCGTACCAAGGTATCTTTACCTTACCAACCCTATGTCTAGGATTATCAACACGAATCACGAATCCTTGTATCATGCTTCAGATTTCTGGTGGATTTCAGATTCTCCATGGGACTCATACCCACTACAAGAATTTTCTCTCCATATGGAACTCAAACCATTTCGAGTCTTTTCCTTGTATGGAAATTTAACCCACTTTGAGGTACTCCCTGTGGATTTCAGATTTCCCATGGGACTTTAACCCATTTCAAAAATCGTCGTTCCATATAGGACTCAAACCCATTTAGATCATTTTCCTCGTATGGGACTATAACCCCCTTTGAGGTCCACATTATCTACGGGACTCTAACTCATTTGGTTGATGCGAAGCAATAGTGCATGTATCCCAATTCTTACTTTTCATAAGCATTACAATTTGAGACTGACACAACAATGAGGTTGTTTTCAAATACATGACTAATTCATCAAAGGCAACATGATTGTACTCGTGTTTCACTAGGTGATTACAAACACCAATTCTCATAGCATCAAATCATGTTCTCAAAAAAGCATATTAGTTCGTGACTAAGCTACAATTCTAGCGACTACTCGTTGTCATACCCTAAATTTGCCCGCCTTTTTTGATCAAAAGCATTGGTACAAGCCATCAGGAGCATGAGAAAAAGAAAGAAGAAAGAATGTTGAATATCTCAAAATTCATGGTGGAATTGGAATGATCACCCAGTTCATCTGCACAGTGCCCAAGCAAAAAGAGGAAATTAGGGTTTTCGCACAGTTAAAAGTCGAGGTTTCAATGGTTTGATCAGTCGATGTCTTGAAT